TTGAGACAGGATCTCCTTGTAAAGCCCAGACCTTTCTCATGCTAAACAAGCACTCTTCCACTGAGCTACATCTCCAGCTCAGGTGTCGGGTTTTTCTTCCTGGGATATGAATATGAACCAGCTCATGGCCCCATTTTTTTAAGGTGCCTAAACCTTGAATAAAATTGCTTATAGATGCTGTGTTCAGACCCAGTAGCAGCACTGGATTTCTGAGGTGTCGAAGAGGCCAGAAGGATTAGACAGAGACCAGGAGAGATAAAAGAGGGATTAGTCATAGCGAGGCTTGGCAGGGCAAGGCACAGCAACTGAGGCACAGGCTCACTGGAGATTGAGTTGGCCTGGTGCCTAGAAGGCAGACCCGTCAGGGCCGAGGGGAGGGCCTAACCCAGGACATCAGAGCACTGGCAGGCTTGGGGTCTGGGACAAAGTCCTGAGTCAGTGCAGAGTTTGGTAAAAAAAATAATTAATTTTTCTTTTCAAGCCAGAGCTGAGACTTGGGCTGTTCCCTGTCCCCACCAGCAGTGGTCTTGCTCAGGCCTGAGCTGGAGAAGCTTCTCTGGAGTTCCATGGCTTCCCCATGGCCAACCTGAGTCTGCTCTTCAACCTAAGGCCCTGTTCGAAAGGCCTGTGGATTACAGGTAAGTGGGACTCAAGGAGCTAGGAGGTAAGTGAAGCTGGGAGAAAGAAACAAGGCTGAGTTGGCCCTGCGGCAAGCCTTCGTGTGCCTGTGCTGTGCCCTGGAGCAGACAAGACATGCCCTCATGGCCCCATGTCCACGGGCCCCGGTGTCATGACAGCAAGACACCTGCTACCATGACATCGGTCAGAGGAAGTCCATAGCTCCAGATGCCTCTGGAGTGTGTCCTGACTGAAACAAAGCCTCCTGGCCTCTTGTCCCCCCTCCTCCCCCACTTCACCTTCCTGGAGGTGAGAATGCCAGACCCTGCTGCAAGAGGAAGGGGCTGCCCAGGCAGCTGCTGTGGGAGCCCAGGCAGCTGCTATGGGAGCCTTCGGTGACTCAGCTGGGTAGGGGAGTGTTTATGAGCCGCCGAAATGGCTGTAAAAATGGCACCTTGCTTCACTTACAGCCTGGCCACCCTATTCTATACTGGCCCCTTGACTCAAAAACTTTCCAAAGGGACCTGTAACTAGAGAACTGTCTGGGGTTTGAAAACTGGGAGGAGTCTCAGCCTGAGGTCAGGGTTCATCGACCGGTTGTAAATCAGACTGGGATAAAGGATTAGCCTAGGGTCAGGTTCAGTGTAGGGGCAGAGCACTTTGGGAGTCTTAGCTTGCAAGTGACTTTGGGGCTAGGTTGGGGATGACGTTTGGGGTGTGAGGGGGTCCTCAGAAGCAGATGTGGCTGGTGGTTCCACAGAGCCTCCAGGCAGATGACAAGGGGTTTTCTGAGAAAGTAAGGCCAGACTACAGAGCTGGAAGAACAGCTCAAGTCTGATGACCAGAGTGGTCCCAGGGTCTGTGTATCTTGGCTAGAGCCCTACTGAGGGTGGTGGCAGCACACGGCTGCCACACCAGCAGAGAGGAGCCAGAGCCTAGCCACCGCTCTGGTTCTGAGCTCCAATGACCACCTTATCTCCTCCTGCTAAGCCTGGGCTGGGATCAAAGAGGAAAGCACAGACCCAGTCCCTACGCCTAGCCTTGCTTTGCCCAGCTCCACTGAAAACGGATCTGAAACTAAACAGAAACTGACCCTGCAGTGTAAGGCCTGCCTGACAGTCAAAGGGTAAGGCTGGCTCTATCCGACCTTAGCGTGGTACTGGTTAATATGTGATTCTCCCGCCATTCCCATGGTGGCAATTTAACCAGAGGCCTGGGGGTGAGTTAGCTGATCAGAGTGTGGAACTCTGGAGTGAGGTCCAGGAGTTACAGCTAGGGAGATACCCTTAAGGAACCCAGAGACCCCCACACCACTCTACTGACTGCACAGCCCACCCTGGTCCACCCAAGGGCACATCTTTTCTTTCTTTTGTTTTTGTTTGTTTGTTTGGTTGGTTTTGCATTTTTTGTTTTGTTTTTGTTGTTGTTGTTTTGAAACAGGGTGTCACCCTGTAGCTCCTGCCTGTAGCTTGCTAGATAGATCAAGCTGGCCTCAAACTCACAGGGATCTACTTGCTTCTGCCTACCAAGCGTTGGGACTAACCATGTGTGCCACCATGCCCAGCTCAAGTGCAAAGATCTTAATTTTTCTCCAAGCTGAGAGCTTTCTGTTGCCAGAACTAAGAACTCTGCCCTATCAGCTCTTAGACTTCTCCAACTCTTGATTCTGCCAAGTATCACCAAGGGAAAGGGCAATGGTCACCATCACATGAAATCTGAGTCATTTAGAAACATAACAAAGACCATCAAAGCATAGTACTGTAGATCTTCCGTGCTAGCGCATTTTGGAGGGCTGTGTGTACGTGTGGAGCTCGAGCACCGTACAAGACAGACCTGGACTCACATCCAGCGCTACCGAGGAGGATGTGAGGACACAAGCAAAGGGGAGTGTCCTCCATACCAAAGTGTGATCCTGACAAGAAACCGGCAAAAACAACGGGGGTGAGCAGGCCAAAAGTCCAGCCGCCTGTACCTGCTGTCTCACCTTGCAGGATACAGAAGTCTTTGAATATCAGGACAAACAACCCAAGAGCAGCGGGCACAGGGAGGGGCATGGTGGAAGAAATGTTTGAGGAAGACAATGTGGACCTGAGGACCCATTCTCACTGAGGGGTGGGAGCTGTCCCTGAGATGGAGAGCAGGTTTGGGGGGGGGACTCTGAGCTCATTTGCATAGAATGCTTGTGGAGATCCCCTAGAACTCATGTGTTTGGCACAAACCCTCAGGGGAGGGGGACCTTTGAGTCAGCTGGACATCTCCCCGATTTTGCAGATGAGAAAGTTGAGACCAAGATACCCAGAGAGTCCTAGCAATCTGGACACACAATTGGTAAGTAAGCAAGCCATTTAACCTGGTGGTGTTTTTCAGGTCACCATACTTAAAATGGCTTCCTTCTCTGCGGCCTGATGCTCCCCACATGGTGTTCAATGAGGTGGTAGGCTAGGAAGTCCGAGATCTAGAACTCAAGCGTCCAGTACAGCGTACATAAACACTAGTCCCCTTCCTAGTTCCAAAACCCCAGATTCCTTTCCCACTTTCTCCAAGTCGAGGGTCCCAGGACAGCCAACAGTATTTGGAGGTGAATTACAAGAGTGGGTGTCCTAGCTGAGCCCCAATCTTGTAGCCTCCAATCGCCCGAATTGGGGCTAGATGGAAGCGCTGGCAAGTAGCTGAATAGGTGTAGACATCTTAAGATACCCGGATTGGAAAGGGACCCCTCTAAGCAGGGAGTTAACGAAGGTCCAGCCCTAGGCAGGAGGCGCACCATGCAGACCCTGGGACTAGGGATGGACAGAGGCTGGAGGACCAGGCAAGGGCGGGGCGGGACGCGAGGGCGTTGGCTGCGTAGCCTGGCTGGAGCTGACGGCGGAGCGGCTTCCCCAGGGTCCCCACACAGCCAGAACAGGAACCCCGCGGGTGCACGGGTAGCGCCGCGGCCAGAGGGGCTCGAAATGCTGGGCGGCCTCCCCAGGGGCTCCCCTCGCGTAGCCCGCCTGCTCATCAGCCAGCGCAGGAAGATCTGGGGGCTGTGGGTGGTCTGTGCGTCTCCGGAGGAGAGAATAAAGCAAAAGCCGGGACAGCGTCCCAGCCACGGTTCTCAGGTCCCCAAGTCCGAGCTCCCTAGACTCCGCTCCCCCCCCCCCGCCCCCAACACTCATCTTCCTGCAGAAAGACCCCGGTCCGGGTCTCTGGAGCGATGTCCCGGGCTGGGGGGCAGCGGGCTCGGCTCCGTCTTCCACACACCCGCCCGGGAGGCAGCGGAGGGGGCAGGGGCGGAGGAGGCCCGGGGAGGGCGCGGGGGAGGGAAGAGGCTCCGGGCCGCGGGGGGAGGGGAGCGGCAGACGCCTAGGCGAGGGACGCGCGAGGCGGGCGGCGGCTCGGAGCAGCGGCCGGGCGGGGGGCTCTGAAGGCCGGGCAGCCCAAGGGGGGGCATCCCGAGAGCTCCATGAAGCGCCCCCGGGGCTGCGGACGGAGCGCTGGCTTGGGGAGGCTGTCGGGGGGGCCCCGACATTCATGGCAAGGCGGGGGCTGCGGCGGCGAGCTCGGAGTAAGTCGGGGCTCGGGGGTGGCTGGAGGGTCGGGGGCGCGGGAGGCCGGAGTGGGGCAGGGGCGACCCGGGGGCCCGGCCGGGGAGGGCCCGGCCGCTCCGTCTCCGTGTCGGTCTGCGGCGCCTCCTCGGAACCCTGTGGAGTCGCCAGTCCCGCTGCCGCTCAGTTCGGTGGCTTTTTTGGAAACTTGCAAATGTTTTCGTAGAGGAGGGGAGGGGGGAGCGAGGGAGTGACCGAAACCGAGCTTGGGGCCGCTGGAGTAGCAGAGGCCAAGGCCGGGGAGCGCGCGCGGGGGGCCGGAGGGGGGGGGGGCCCTGGCTAAAACCGATCGACGAGCAGACAGGCAGCCCCCGGCATCGCGGCCGCAGAAGCGCTCGTGCGGCTCGGGCGCACGCGGCGCGGGTTCGGAGGACGGGCAGGGGGGTTCCGGAGGTGGCCGCCAAGGGTATGGAGGTCCAGGCTGAGCCGAGGAGCCGGGCCACCGTGCTGCTGGAGAGCCCGGAGCTGGCGACTGGAGCCCCGAAAGGCTCGGGGTCGTTGCAAAAGTCGGGGTGGCATCCCTTAGCTGCACGCCCCGCGCAACTCAAAACGCGCCCCCTGCCCCGCCCCGACTCCCCTGTTGCCCACTGCCGCGGAGCTAAAAATAACAGCCTGGTCGCCCCCCGCAGACCGCGACCCCGACCCCTCCCCCGCCCCTCCCCCACTGGGCGTGGAGCGAAGCCACTGCTCCCAGTTCCCCCAAAGAGGGGGGGAGAGAAAAAAAAAAAGACGGAGAGAAAGAAAGAAAGAAAAGGCGGCGCGGGAGAGGAGCGGGGGGCGGGCCGGGGGCGGGGGGCCCAGCCATATGGATGTGATTTCTCCGCTCCGAGGCAGACAGGCCGCTCAGCAGCGCTCGGCGCCCGCCCGCCGCCCGCCCGGCCTCAGGCTGCCGCCCTCCCTCCGCCCTCCCTCTCTCCCTTGCGCCGGTTCGTTCTCTCGCTCGCCCTCGGCGTATGGGCCCCGCGCCGGGCTCCGGGGCCTCGGGCCGCCCGGACGCCGGGGTCCCCTAGGCCGGGGCGTGGGCGGGGCGGCCCGGCCTGACGCAGCTCTGCACCCTCCAACCATCACCAGGGCTGGCGGCGGCTGCCCCGAGGGACGCGGCCCTAGGCGGTGGCGATGGGGGCCGCCCGGATCGCACCCGGCCTGGCGCTCCTGCTCTGCTGCCCAATGCTCAGCTCGGCATACGCGCTGGTAAGTCCCTCTCGGTTCACACTCCGACACAGGAGTCCTGGAGTTGGCTCTGGGGTCCAGGGACGAGTGTAGGCGCAAGGTCTTGGGTTCTCCCAATAGTCTGAACTTTGGGATGGGACCCCCACCCCGCTCTGAACCAGGAACCCTGGTGCCTGCCCTCTTTGGGGTGTCTTACTGTAGGTTCCAGATGCCTGAAGTTTCCCAACTTCTGAAGACTTGGTTTGGGGTCCTGGGTCTGGAAATCTGTGGTTGGAGTTGCCTTGCACCATGCCTCTGTGAGCACACACGGCTCTGGTCGTATGTATCTCGGTGGTGACAGTGCGATTCGGCGGGCTCTGGGTTTGGAGTCTCAGGGGCTGTGTTGGGGGCCTCGCTTTCGCAAGTTTTGTTTGCAACCCCGCGCTCAAAGCTGTATGCAAGAAGGCAGAAATCACTTAGACCGAGGGTAGGGTTCAGATCCCTCTCCTGCTCTTGGGATCCCACACATACACAGATGTATGTCCGAATGGGACAGCTCTACCCAAGGTGGAAGGCATCTGCCCAGGGACGGGGTTGTGGTGCGGTATGGAGGTCCCCTGAAAGACACTGACCCCACAGTACACCTTGCAAAAGATATGTGCTGTGGGGCCTTCTGGCGAGTGAGCTTATCTTTGGGGGTCCTGTGCGTGGTCTGAGAGCAGGAGGCTAAGAGGGAGACAAAGGGTTAGGATGAGAGCTCCCGACCCCAGCAGGAAGAGTCAACAGCGAAGACAAACACGGAGCTGGAGACACTAAGGGAAATCATGGCCCATCTTGGGCTAGGGTCTAGGAGCCGTTTCTCAGAGAGGAGGTTTTTTCCTCCCCTCACATCCCACAGCAGTCCTACCCCAAGTGTCCAACCTATTCCCAGATCAGCTTCTGTGCCTGACTTTAGGGTCTTGTTACCCCCTGTACCCCAGGTCTAGGGAGACAGAGCGGGCAGCTTCCTCTGCAGGACAGAGCCTCACATCGGAGGACACAGGCGGTCTGGGGCTCCTCCAGCTCAGCCTTCAGTTTGTGTAACCTTGGACTGTCTTTCTCCATACCTCAGTTTCCCATCTGTGAGAAGAGAGCATGAGAGAAACATTTGGCAAACACCCTTGCAGTGTGACACTCTCCTTCTGTGTCCCTAGCGCTCTATTTACCAGTTTCCTGTACCCTCACAGTTCTTCTCCAACAAAGGACTAGAACCAGAGCCGAAGACTGCCCCAGAAAGGCACTTGTACACAAGGAAACAAGTTGAGAGGGCCTGAGCTTGCAGATCAGGAAGGAGGTGCTATTTGCTGAGCTTCTCTCGGTGACTTCTGTGTGTACGCGGGCATGTACATGGGCTAGTCCGACTGATGGGTTGGTCCAGAGGATTGCGTGTATTCAGGTCCACATGTGCCAGGAGCTGTGGCTCTGCACATGACTCTGAGGGAAGCACAGTTGTATATGCGCCTGTGTGCGCACTGTGTGCGCACGCCGGTTCCTTGCCTGCTCACTTGTATTTAACAAATACGTCTGTGTTTTCTGATTGTCAGTCCATTATTCTAAGGACTTTATGCAGGTCAGCTAATTTAGTCTACCGAACAACCCCCTGAGAAACGTATTTTCCCTCTTATTTTTTTTTTTAACTCACCCAAATCCGCAATCACTCTGAGCATTGTCTATCTTCAAGCAAGTGCCAAGTCCCTGCACCTCACAACGTGCAGTGGTATGGCGTCGAGAGGGTTCCACAGTTCTCTGTAAAGAAGTTGAGCTGTGTGCAGAGAATTTTCCTGATTTAGAAGGGCCCCTGTCCAAAGGCAGAAAGACAGATGAGAGCGTGGCCCTGCAGGGACCTTGCCGGGGCACAGGAATGCAACAAACCATCTTTTGCTTCAGGTCTAAGGCATGCAGTCCAAGGGAGAGGGTTCGGCCAACCCACCACCCAGTGGGATCCCTGGGATCAGCTGGAGTCAGCAAACACCTGGCCCCTGCCTGACCTCCTGACCTGGCCCCTGCTGCTCTGTCCAGATGTGTAAAGGTCCGGACAGAGCCTGTCCACCTCAGCCGTCGTCAAACTTACAGGCTACGTGCTCAGCCAGATCTAACCAGGCTCACTTCTCCCATGACCTTGGTTGGGGGATCAAAGAGCATCCCGCTGGGGGAACCCTGACCACAGCTGGACTCAGCTGGTCCATCCGTCCTCCCAAAGAAGAGCAGCCTGGGAGGAGGGAACTTTAGAGGAGGGGATAGGCTCGCAGCTTGAGCAGGCAAAGGGTGATCTTGTCCTTTGAGATTCCTTATCCTAAGGACTCCCTAGAGAACTCTCCAACAGAGGCAGGCCTGGGTGTGGGGTGGGACCTTGAGGGAGACAAGGGTAGGGCTCCGCAGAGAATATGCTGGCTGTGCAGGCAAGGCCTTCCAGCCAGCTCCCAGGGTGCAGCTCAGAAGGTACTGATTTTTTTTTTTTTTTTAATGTTTATTATGTGTCTCTGCGTGCTTGGCCGTGCTTGCACGAGGCAGTTCCTTCCTTCCACCATGTAGGTTCCAGGTATGGAATTCAGGTTTCAGGCTCAGACAGCAAGCACTTCGCCTGCTAAGCTATCTCGCCTGCCCAGAGGTGCTTGCTTTTAAAAATAAGAACGAACTTGTATCAGGAGTCTGAGTGCGGACGTATGTGTGCTCATCCCACCCATTCCACTTCACTGGGAAATGACCTTGAGGCTCACGCCGTGAGTTTGGCAGAGGTGGGATAGAGTTGAAGCATCTGAACCCGGGGCTTCAGATTTCTACAGGAGACTCTTCCCTCTAAGTGAGACAGGAGTAAAGTCAGGACAAGAGGTCCCTATGTGTCACTTTGGGTTTTCTTCTTTAGAAAGTGAAACCTCTGCTATTTTTACCTTTTACACTGTTTATTTCATGACTAATGTATGAGCACATTTTTAATAATTGTTTTTGGATTGTTTTAGTCTCTGTGTATGTGTGCATGTGTGTGAATGTGGCGGGGGGGGGGCTCTGAAGATCTGTGGACGGCAGGCTATTGTTCTTACCTTCCACTTGAGACAGGGTCACCAGGCCAGCTCGGGCTTCTGAGGACTCTCTGGTTCGTCTTTATGTGGGGTTGGGAACCTGAACTCCAGTTCGTGAGCAGTAAGGACCTTCCCCACTGAGACATCCCCCCACCTTAGGAGTTCAAGTGATACAGATGAAACAGAAGCCTTCTGTGGGCACTGTCCAATCCCCGTCCCCTTTCTAGAGAAAGGCATTTCGACAGTCTGGGGAGGGGCCTCTGTCTCTTTCCCCGTGCTTCAAATGGTGCCTTTTGGTATGCACAGCAAGAAGAATGTTGTGCCTTGTGTTTTTATTTATTTTTTAAATAATTTTATTTTATTTGATGTGCATTAGTATGAAGGTGTCAGATCCCTTGGAATTGGGCTTACACAATGTTGTGAGCTGCCATGTGGGTGCTGGGAATTGAACCCAGGTCCTTTGGAAGAGCAGACAGCGCTCTTAACCACCGAGCCATCTCTCTAGCTTGTGTCTTGTGTTTTTAAATAAGCCCATCGAGCTTTTCCATAGGTTTATGTGACACATGCATGGTGGTACCTAAAGATATATCTTCATGTTTGTGAGTACAAATCTTTTAAAATATATTTTATGTTTTTTTTTAAGTATTTGTATATTCTTGTGGGGCTTTTGTGCACACATTTAATGCTTGAGGAGGCCAGAAGAGCATGTCAGATCCCTTAGAGCTGGGGTTACAGGCTGTTTTAAGCCACCTAAAGTGGATGCTGGGAACAGAACTTGGGTCCTCCTGCAAGAAAAGTTTGTGCTCTAACATCAGAGCCAGCTCTCCAGCCTCCAAATCCTTTTTTAAAAGTTATTTTATTGTATGCTTACTTGTCTGGCCTGCATGTATGTCTGTGTACTGTATGCATGCGGTACCTGAGGAAGCCAGAAGAGGGCGTCATATCCCCTGGAACCACCGTATGGATGCAGGGAATTGAACGTGGGTCCCCGGAAGAACAGCCAGTGCTTTTAAACATGGAGCCATCTCTCTGAGTCCTTTTTAATCCTGTATAGTATTCCGAAGTATGAACCTCATTAAACATCCCTGAGGAATGCACATTCAGACCCTTTCTCCACAGTTTTCTCATCCTCTCATTCTCTCTTTCTCCGTGTGTGTGTGTGTGTGTGTGTGTGTGTGTGTGTGTGTACGCACACGCGCGTGTGCGCTGGAGTGTGCGAATGTGAGAGAAGTTCCAGATGGTGGCAGAGAAGCTCCTTGAAATGCCCTCTTGGTTTACCACGTGACCGTTTCCCGGTAGGATATTTCTAGAATTTGTCTTTGCTGGGTCTAAGAACATGCACATTTTTTATTTTAATAGGCATGGCCAAATTGCCTTCTAAAAAGCTGTGCTGGTTTATACTCACCAGGACTGACCGCAGGGCCCTCTCCCTGCTCGGCTCTGTTTCACAGGATGTGACCAGGGGCCCTTTTGTTTCGTCTTAGCATTTCGATAGGTGAGGAACGGTGGCTCCTGTCATTTTAATTTACCCTCCGCCAACGATTTTCAGACTTGAGACTTGTTTCTGGTCTATCTGCTCAGAGAGCTCGCTCAGAGCCATTACCCATCTTTCTGTGGGTTATTTATCTTGCACGTATTGATTTGCTGAAGCTTTTTATATCACCTGCCCTTAAACACATCCTCCTCCCCTACCCCCCAACTCCCAGAACTGCCTGAGGACAGAGCAGTGGAGGGGGGGCACAGGCCCTCCCGGGAACTTGGGTTTTCTTCGGAATGTTTTAATGAGGCGTCAAGCAGCCTCCCCCAGATTCCTGTTGTGGGCCTTCTGGGGACACTCCCTGGTCCAGCTACCACATCAGGAAGGGAGCTATTTCAGAGAGCCCCAGGAAAAATAAAAGGTACGGTGGGGTTTTTGCAGAACTTTGAAATCATCTTTAAAATGACTAGGAGAGGCAGAGTTTGCTCAGGTTCCCCGACACTGGAGAC